CTGGTGGCCCCCCTGAGACAGCCTTCAAACCTGGACTGACTCCACCCCCAGGATCACCATTCAGCCAAAGACTAGAGAGGCCTCTAAGGTGAACGGTAATTCCCGTAAGCACTGTGCTCCTCAGAACAATCAACCCTACAGACTAAACGGCAGTATTTGCCCACAAACAAAGCTCAGAAAGCATGAAGGCCCAGGAAAGAGTGATGAATGGAAAAGGGGAGCCCAGGGAGGAAGGGGAAGAGTGCTGTTACTCTGAGGTGATGGCAACTAATGGCATGAGCCAAATGTTGAACAGGAAACTCATGTGCTCTGTGAACTCTCACCCAAACTGTAATACATGCTTCGAAAAAGAAAGAAGATAAATACATGTTAAACGGGAAAATACAAGTACACACCACACATGTACCTTGAGCACAACTCTGCCAGAGGCTCTCCTGGGAGGAAGTGCTGTCAGGAGGCAGGCCTGGGCACACAAAGCACAAGTGGACAGAGACGCCACACCTGTGTGTTCAAGAGCTCTGCAGAATGGGATGGTCACCTTCCTTGACTTCAGATGTGGCCTTTAAAATCATCTGACTTGGCTGCCAGGAGGGGAGAGGGCTCAGGGACAACAGCTCCGAGACCTGAGAGAGATGGCCCCCGAAACACTGGGCAGGGCAGGCCCCAAGGAGAAGATGACTTGATGGGGAGTGACATGTGGTACCAAGTTTCTTGTTCCCTTTTCTGCTCATGGAGTCCCTCACAGGAGCCTCGGGTCTGCAGTGGAGTCTGGTAACAATGACCACCTGGTGGCTGTCCCAAGTTGGCTGCAGAGGCAGCAGCAGCTGTTTTCACACGTATGCAGGGAGAGGACGGGAGCCTTCAGAGTCAGCTCTGAGATGCTGCAAGGACCTGGAGAACAGGCTCGGGGGAGAGGGGGCTGTCAGGACATGGGACACACCCAGAAATCCTCAAATTCTTGGGCATGGACTGACTGAGGGATTTTCAAGCTAGGGTCTAAAGTTGTTAAATTTGAATTTTGAAAAGCATGACCCTCAAAAGACTCCAAAATGTGGGGACACTCAGGTAATATCCTTAACTGCTGAACATTAGAGTTCTTCACTCTATTCTTGGAGAAG